TCCAAGGAAAACTGGCCCAAAATAGTAAATTTAGCTGTGTATTTCTTTTTACTACCATAACCTGCCACCAAAGAACAATCCAAAATACATTTTCCGGCTCTTGACGATCGCAGCAATACCATATATGTGTATATGTTTTATTTGTTGTTTGTACCCGTAGCACAGCCCAGAAACAATAGTGCGCATTTTGTTTTTTGTTTTTTTTTTTTTTTTGGGGGGGGGGGTTACCTGAAACACACTGACACGGATACCAATTTAAAAAAATACATATCTAATCCTGACCTTTGCCCCTGACCTTTTGACCTTGATCTTTAACCCTGACCATGACCCAAACAAACACTTACCATGGCACTGAACTAGATCAAACCTTGATCTAGGTATTTTTTCTTTATTTTTTAATATTTATTTATCTGGTCTTTTGGGGGGTTTTTTGTTTTTTGGGTTTTTTTTATAAATATTTATTTTTCTCTATGCCAGGAGTTAGACAGATACAATGTATCTCTCTCCTCTATTCATGGAGAAAAAAAAACAGAAACAAAAAAACAAGGGGGGCGGGCTATACAGTGACTGATCACTGTGATAACCAATCAGAGGCTATCACTGCGATCATGAGACCCGAAATCGGGAGTCCCAGGTCCTGATCATTAGAACGGGACCCAGGGCTCTCAGTGACACCCAGCAGAAAGACAGGTACACAAACATGTGGATCCACAGAAAAAAGCCCAGTTCTGTGAGGTCGCATATTTGTGTTACGTCGGCGTGAAGGGGTTAAGAATTAAAATGCATATAAACCAATATGATCAACAGTTTGTGGACACCTGATAATCTCACATACTACAGCATGGCTTAAAATTTCAAGTCCTGAGCTACTAGCCAGGCCTTAAGAGTTACTCGCCACCAACAAACACACACAAACATGTACACACACGCACAGAGACACATGTAATCACCCACACATACAGACACATGTATACACACACAGGCACGTACAGACACACATACACACAGATACATGTACATACACAGAAATACACACGCACAGACACATGTACATACACACACAAGGCACATGTACATACATACACAGGCACATGTACATACATACACATGTACATGCACACACACACACACACATACACACATACATGTACACCTACACACACACCTATAAAAAGTTGCAGTACTTCATTGTTCACTCACAGAGCCGGGTACTGCACTCTAGGGGGAGGCAGAGAGCACAGCATACACTCCTTTCTTTGCTTTCACTGCGCTCAGCTATTGAGCAGTCTGACAGCTCCCAGTGCCAATGACAGATCCAGCCTGAGCTCCGAGCCTGCTCAGCAAGACGGCCCTGGGGGACACACTCGCCCCCACCATAATTTCCACTCGCCATTGGCGAGCAGGCGAGTGGAAATTTCAAGGCCTGTACTACAGAATATGGTAAAAATTATGCGACGCCCCCTCCTACAGTAATTATTGAGTGCAGGTGTTTCCAATGAAGGTGTTTGTTAATGTTACAGCATACAAAGAAATATTAAACAACTGTGTGCTTCCAACCTTGTGATGACAGTTTTAGGATGTGACTGTGCCCAAAAGTCAAGTCCAAAATGATAACTGGTATAAGGAGCTTGGTGTGGAGGAACCTGGATTTGCCTTCACGAGCCTTGACCTCAACCCTATTGAAAATGTTTGGGATATATTCAAATGCCTATTGCTTGCCAGCCGTTCTCATTCAATCTTAGTACTAGATGTTCTTTTTACTAAATGGGCCAAATTCCCCCAGACACGTATTCCAGTGGAACTGGTTATAGCCTCAAAGTGTTGCTCAGTTGTGTATCAATGCTCATGGTTTTGGAATGGAATATTTAACCGCTTCCCAACCATCCTGTAGCAAATACACTGCTACAGAGCAGAGAGCAGCAGCATATATACGTGATTTTGCATTTTCCGGGTAGCAGGGGCGCGCATGCTCTACCAGCACCGTCATTTGCAGCTGTCAATCACTGGGTTCCGCACGGTGATTACTCACCGGCGCCTGGTGATTGCCGAGCATTTCCAACTCTTCTAAACAAAACAATTTTCCTCACTGTCAGCTCGTGCACAATTTTTTTACTGGACATGTTTAACAGTAAAATGTCAAAAATATTGTTTTTTTTTTAAAATTGGTTGGTCTTTTTTTTTTATAGCACAAAAAATAAAAAAACACACAGACGATCAAACACCGCCAAAAGAAAGATCTATTCGTGGGGGGAAAAAATGATGTAAATTTCATATGGGTGCAGTGTTGCATGACTGCGTAATTGTCAGTTAACGTAATGCAGCGCGTAACACAAAAAAATGGCCTGCTCAGGAAGGAGGGTAAATCCTCAGGAGGGCAAGCGGTTAACAAAATCGTATATTGTAGGTGTGATGGTCAGGTGTCCACAAACCTTTGATCATATAGTATACTTCTCCAATTCTTCTATTTTTATCAAGTGTGTTTTATCAAGATCACACATAGGGATTCCCACCACCGTTCACCAATGCGCTGACCTCAAGTGGTGGACCTAACAAACCACCAGGTCATAAAATGCTTTCCCCCTTTTGGGGTGCCTTTCCAACTCCACTTGGTTGTAGCTTCAATTGAGATATATCCTCCCATTGACCCTGGGGATAATGTATATGACCTCCACATAAATGGGTGTATGGCCCTTTAAAAGATCAATGCCTCCCCCTACAGTAGACTCATACAATAAAAAAGTGGATTCCCATAGTGTAGTATGTAATGGTGGATCAGTTTATTAATTAAAATTGCACTTACATCCCAAATAAAAGGCGAAGCATAAGATGAAAAAAACAGTGGGGCCACGGATCCAGCCACAGGAGTATCACCATGTAACATGACTTCCTCAGTGGTACCACGTGATGATACGCAAGTGGGCGGAGCCAGGTGACTGAGTGCCAAGACCAGAAGTGAGGGGAACTGAGAAGAGGGACATTAAAGTACAAAAAAAAAAAAAAAGCAAACGGTATTATAATTTTTTTTTATATCTACACACAAATTTTTTGCTTTTCATTTGTACTTTTCAGGATAAGTTAAGTTTTTAAGAAATACTATTTTTGCAGAAAAAGAGGCTGTGTGGGTATTTTTGAACTGTGACAGTGGATGCAGGGTGTCAGGAATGGACTGGCCAGCAATAGTGGGACTCACCTGCCTTGTGAGCTGCAGTACCAGGGCTGGCCAGCGGGTGCTCCCAGCAATCAGAGACTCAACCTTGCAGCCAGTCAAACACCTGGAACTAATTATACTGGTGTATTTAAGGGACATTCAGACCTGCAGACTCTGCCTTGGTGTTGTGTTTTTCCTGGGCCCTGTATCTTGTTCCTGCATCCTGCTCCTGTTCCTGTCCTGTTGCTGACCCGGCTTGATTCTGACCTCTGCTGACTTCTCCTGTTCTGATCCCTGGCTTGTGACCCCGACCATTTCTCTGCCTGACCCCCTGTACCTACCTGCCTGTTAGTTGCTGTACCCTGCTCGTGACCTGACTATTCTCCGCTTGCTCCCCCTGTACCTACCTGCCCGATTGATATTGACCCGGCCTGCCTAACGACGCTTGCACTGTATGTACTGTTATCTGTGGGTGGTTGGTTGGTTCGTTTGCACTGTGTTATGTTTTAGTATTGCACTGCGTTTATGTTTGTATTGTTAGTGTTAATAAATTGTTTATAACTTATCGGAAGTCTGCGTTTCCCTGCGTCAGTCACACACCTCTGGTCATACCCGGAGCCCTGACATTACACCAAGGCCAATCCTGACCAGAAGTGGCTGCACAGGGAAGCCATCTTGGTTTGTTGATGGGAAGGATGGATCTGGATGAGGTTGCGTATTTATATCTGCTAGTGTTTGATGACAGGGAGTATGCTTATCAAACTCTGAAGGAGTATACCCGGGATGAACTGCTAGAATGTATACGGCTCGCTCATGTTCTAGTAGATCAGGGCACAGAGTTCTCTGAGGTGCAGCCATTGATTGAGGTTTGTGCTGAGTTGGTTTCATCTGGTTCCCCCGAATGCAGGGATGAATTTTTGCCACCATTTAGTGCAGACCAGGTAGATTCCCTGGTATGGTTATTAGAGGATGATGTGGGTTACTTTCTGGAGCGTTATTCCACATGTTCACCACAGACACTAAGAGATTGTATAAACGCAGTGCAGTCTTTGGTCAGACAGGCTTTGTGTAAGCTGAGCTTTGTTCAACCCATACTGCAGACATGGACAGATTTGTTGCACCCAGCCTCAGTCAGCTTACAAAAACCCAGTCCTGCTTCTAATCTATTATTTCCTCAAAACTCTATTCCTGCATTCCCAACAGCTCCTCCTGCCCTGCTATCTACCGCATGTCAGTACCCTGTTCCCACTTGCTGCACCTATCCTGCCTTTAACCCTGTAAAGAAGCCCTCTGTAGCGACTGTTCCTTCCCCTGTTCCATCCTCCAGCTCTTCTCTGTCTCCAGCTGCTCCATTCATTTGCAGACCTGCGTTTACTTTCAGTGCCCCAGTAGTTAAAACCAGAAAAAAGCGAAAATTCTTTCCAACCAGTACCATCCTGCCAGTATCCAAACCGGTGAGCCTACCGTCTGAGAACCTGCCTTCCGTGGTTCAGCCTGATGCCTCTCTTCAGCCTGATGCCTCTCTTCAGCCTGATGCCTCTACTCAGCCTGATGCCTCTACTCAGCCTGATGCCTCTCTTCAGCCTGATGCCTCTCTTCAGCCTGATGCCTCTACTCAGCCTGATGCCTCTACTCAGCCTGAAGCCTCTACTCAGCCGGATGCCTCCACTCAGCCTGATGCCTCCACTCAGCCTGATGCCTCCACTCAGCCTGAAGCCTCCACTCATCCCGAAGCCTCCACTCATCCTGAAGCCTCCACTCAGCCTGAAGCCTCTACTCAGCCTGAAGCCTCTACTCAGCCTGAAGCCTCTACCCAGCATAATGAACTGATCCAGCCTGATGATCCTATTAGGGCAGTTGACTCAATGCCCGCTGTTGATCCAGATGATCCGGTACCTGATCCAGTGCCCGCTGTCGTGCCAATTGACTCAGAGCCCGCTGTCGTACCTGGTGACTCGGTGCCCACTGCCTTGCCAGATGACGCGGTGCCCACTGGCGAGCCAAATGACCTGATGCCTGGTGACCCAGTGCCCGCTGTCATACCTGGTGACCCGATGCCCGCTGTCGAGCCAGACGATCCAATGCCAGACGACTCGGTGCCCGCAGTCTTGCCAGACGACTCGGTGCCCGCAGTCTTGCCAGACGACTCGGTGCCCGCTGTTCCGCCAGTTGACTCGATGCCCGCTGTTCCGCCAGTTGACTCGGTGCCCGCAGTCTTGCCAGACGACTCGGTGCCCGCAGTCTTGCCAGACGACTCGGTGCCCGCTGTTCCGCCAGTTGACTCGATGCCCGCTGTTCCGCCAGTTGACTCGGTGCCCGCAGTCTTGCCAGACGACTCGGTGCCCGCAGTCTTGCCAGACGACTCGGTGCCCGCAGTCTTGCCAGACGACTCGGTGCCCGCAGATCCGCCAGACGACTCGGTGCCCGCAGTTCCGCCAGTTGACTCGATGCCCGCTGTTCCGCCAGACGACTCGGTGCCCGCAGTCTTGCCAGACGACTCGGTGCCCGCAGTTCCGCTAGACGACTCGGTGCCCGCAGTTCCGCCAGTTGACTCGATGCCCGCTGTTCCGCCAGACGACTCGGTGCCCGCAGTCTTGCCAGACGACTCGGTGCCCGCAGTTCCGCCAGACGACTCGGTGCCCGCAGTTCCGCCAGTTGACTCGATGCCCGCTGTTCCGCCAGGCGACTCGGTGCCCGCAGTCTTGCCAGACGACTCGGTGCCCGCAGTCTTGCCAGGCGACTCGGTGCCCGCAGTCTTGCCAGACGACTCGGTGCCCGCAGTCTTGCCAGACGACTCGGTGCCCGCAGTCTTGCCAGACGACTCGGTGCCCGCAGTTCCGCCAGTTGACTCGATGCCCGCTGTTCCGCCAGACGACTCGGTGCCCGCAGTCTTGCCAGACGACTCGGTGCCCGCAGTTCCGCTAGACGACTCGGTGCCCGCAGTTCCGCCAGTTGACTCGATGCCCGCTGTTCCGCCAGACGACCGGTGCCCGCAGTCTTGCCAGACGCTCGGTGCCCGCAGTTCCGCCAGACGACTCGGTGCCCGCAGTTCCGCCAGTTGACTCGATGCCCGCTGTTCCGCCAGGCGACTCGGTGGCGCAGTCTTGCCAGACGACTCGTGCCCGCAGTCTTGCCAGGCGACTCGCCAGTCTTGCCAGGCGACTCGGTGCCCGCAGTCTTACCAGATGACTCGGTGCCCGCAGTCTTGCCAGACGACTCGGTGCCCGCAAGTCTTGCCAGACGACTCGGTGCCCGCCGTTCCGCCTGGGGGCCCGAGACCTGTCGCTCCGCCTGGGGGCCCGAGACCTGTTGCTCCGCCTGGGGGTCCGGCGCCCGCCGCTCCGCCTGGGGGTCCGGCGCCCGCCTCTCCGCCAGGGGGCCTGAGACCTGTCGCTCCGCCTGGGAGCCTGAGACCTGTCGCTCCGCCTGGGGGCCTGAGACCTGTCGCTCCGCCTGGGGGCCTGAGACCTGTCGCTCCGCCTGGGGGCCCGAGACCTGTCACTCTGCCTGGGGGTCCGGTGCCCGCCGCTCCGCCTGGGGGCCTGAGACCTGTCGCTCCGCCTGGGGGTCCGGCGCCCGCCGCTCCGCCTGGGGGCCCGAGACCTGTCGCTCCCGCCTGGGCGTCCGCGCGCCCGCCACTCCGCCTGGGGGGCCCGAGACCTGTCGCTCCGCCTGGGGGTCTGGCGCCCGCCGCTCCGCCTGGGGGTCCGGCGCCCGCCGCTCCGCCTGGGGGCCCGAGACCTGTCGCTGTCGCCCCGCCTGGGGGCCCGATGCCTGTCGCCCCGCCTGGGGGCCCGATGCCTGTCGCCCCCCTCCCTGGGGGCCCGATGCCTGTCGCCCCTCCTGGGGGCCTGGCGCCCGCCGCTCCGCTCGGGGCCCGATGCCTGTCGCCCCGCCGGGGGGGCCGGTGCCTGTTGCCCCGCCTGGGGGCCCGATGCCTGTCGCGCCGCCTGGGGGCCCGATGCCTGTCGCGCCGCCTGGGGGCCCGGTGCCTGCTGCTTCACCTGGTAATCCGATGTGCCTCTGCCCGGAGTCCAGCCCGATGTGCCTCTGCCCAGAGTCCAGCCCGATGTGCCTCTGCCCGGAGTCAAGCCCGATGTGCCTCTGCCCGGAGTCCAGCCCAATGTGCCTCTGCCCGGAGTCCAGCCCGATGTGCCTCTGCCCAGAGTCCAGCCCGATGTGCCTCTGCCCAGAGTCCAGCCCGATGTGCCTCTGCCGGAGTCCAGCCCGATGTGCCTCTGCCCGAGTCCAGCCCGATGTGCCTCTGCCCGGAGTCCAGCCCGATGTGCCTCAGCCCGAAGTCCAGCCCGGTGTGCCTCTACCCAGTGTGCCGCTGCCCGGAGTCCTGCCCGGTGTGCCGCTGCCCGGAGTCCTGCCTGGTGTGCCAGTCTTTGATATCCCGCCAGTTACCAGACCCGGGCGGTGGAACATTTTGCCCAGCTAGGACTGTTTGGAGCGTCCTGAGGCCGCTCCTTGAGGGGGGGGTACTGTCAGGAATGGACTGGCCAGCAATAGTGGGACTCACCTGCCTTGTGAGCTGCAGTACCAGGGCTGGCCAGCGGGTGCTCCCAGCAATCAGAGACTCAACCTTGCAGCCAGTCAAACACCTGGAACTAATTATACTGGTGTATTTAAGGGACATTCAGACCTGCAGACTCTGCCTTGGTGTTGTGTTTTTCCTGGGCCTGTATCTTGTTCCTGCATCCTGCTCCTGTTCCTGTCCTGTCTGTTGCTGACCCGGCTTGATTCTGACCTCTGCTGACTTCTCCTGTTCTGATCCCTGGCTTGTGACCCCGACCATTCTCTGCCTGACCCCCTGTACCTACCTGCCTGTTAGTTGCTGTACCCTGCTCGTGACCTGACTATTCTCCGCTTGCTCCCCCTGTACCTACCTGCCCGATTGATATTGACCCGGCCTGCCTAACGACGCTTGCACTGTATGTACTGTTATCTGTGGGTGGTTTGGTTTGGTTCGTATGCACTGTGTTATGTTTTTAGTATTGCACTGCGTTTATGTTTGTATTGTTAGTGTTAATAAATTGTTTATAACTTATCGGAAGTCTGCGTTTCCCTGCGTCAGTCACACACCTCTGGTCATACCCGGGAGCCCTGACACAGGGAGAGGGTCCCTTGACCCTTGTCACACCAAGTCAGGGATCAAGGGGAGAGGCTGCAGATGATGTAACTTGTTACGGCCCCATGTACATGGAACACTTCTGATTGATGGAAACTGACTGCCGGAAAACGTAGGTTAAAAAATGTCTGTTTAGCCGCGTTTAGAACGTTTAGAAGTGTTTTTTAAAGATAACCTCAGGAAACCTTCCAAAATGCCCAGAATGCACTGAAAAACAGTAAAAAAATTAACTATTTCAGACATTTTGAGAGAAACAGAGAGAGCAGAAGCAGAGGGAGCAGTATTTGTTGAGATTATCTTTTTTTTTTGTGGTGTTTGGATGTGTTCCAGCTCATTTCTGTGCAGAAATTATTGCAGCAGTGTCTAACATATTTTCTTTCTTGCAAAACCTCAAAGTATGGTGTACCGGGTCCCTTTGAGTACCAGGAAAACGCTTTGCATGTATTCTTCATGATGAAAAAAGGCTCTGGACAGCATCTGGAAATGGAAGAGTTAAAAAAAAAAATTTCAAACGCAAACACTTATAAACGCGGTTAGCCACGTTTACAAGCATTTGGCGTTTGAATTGCTGATAAAATCTACTCCTGAACGTAAGTTTTCTGCGTTCAAAAAAACAACTGTAAACTCAACTGCCTGTAAACGATGATGTGTACATGGACACATAGGAAAACATTAGGGAGAGTTCAGGGGCTGCTGAAAAAATGCAGAACAGCTCCTAAATGTGAGTTTATCAGCTGCAGTGTACATGAGCCCTACATGTTCAACCATAAATACAGGTGGAACATGTAACATGCTTCGAAAGATAAATGTATTCTTTGAACTGAATGGGTTGTTTTACAAGGTAAGGGTTCACATATATGAGGGGCATTCAAGTCAAACCAAGACTTAATTTTACAGGTATAAAAAGGGATGCCAGCGTGGTGGTACTACAGTAGTAAGTAGTCGCAGTAAGTGCGAGTGTGTCCAATTACTGATAGGCACACACGTCGCGGCCAGTCCAGAGACCATTAATCAAGATGGCAGACAGCAGTGCTAGTGTGTGCATGGAACAGCGTGTGGTGATGAAGTTTCTTGTGAAGGAAGGCGTAAAACAAGCAGATATCTACAGAAGACACCAAGCACAGTATAGTGATGAGACACTGAGCTGCTGTAAGACATTTGAATGGTGTAAACATTTCAAAGATGGCGTACATCCATCAGTGATGGTCAAGGCCGTGGTGGTTCTCAGCCCATAATAGTCATTCCTCTGAACATTCAGCACGTGGAACGACTGATCTTAGACAAATCGACACAAAACCGTGAAAACTGCACAAGAGACAAATCTTTCTGTGGGAACGGTGAACACAATGATGATGAAATGAAGAAGGCTGTCCTAGGATGGGTCAGGTGTATAAATGTAGCAGGGGAGTATGTCAAAAAACAAATTCAGTTTCCACTCCTTGAAATGTGTTCTTTTATTATAGAAACAATTGAGTACTGTCCGTGATACTTTTTTTATTTGCACTAACATACAATTTTGAGGACAAGCTTTCGGGGAGTGTCCCTTTCTTCAAGGTCCAGACAGTACTGACTTTGAAGAAGGGGACACTCCCCGAAAGCTTGTCCTCAAAATTGTATGTTAGTGCAAATAAAAAAAGTATCATGGACAGTACTCAATTGTTTCTGTCACAAAGGCACTAATACGGCTACAATCACCTCAAGCAAAATGGAAGATTCTTTTATTATATAAACTCAAAAAGTCCCTGTTTGACTTGAACGTCCCTCGTACTTAGCCTCCCTGGTGGTATTCCCGAGTGTAGCTCAGGGTGAAGTTTCAGCACCAAAAGCGATAACCCTGAGCTACACTCAGGAATACCTTGCAGTGTTGCTCCGGGATCTCTTCTGTACTTACCTTGTCCTTCGCACCCGCGATGCCCCCCCTGCAGCGTCCCCGGCCATCTCCTCCGGCCGATGCGGCATCTGTCTTCTGGGTTCCATTCCCTGCGAGCGGCGGGACGTACGGGGGACGGAACCGGCGGGAATTTAAAAAATGTCAAAAAATTACATTCACTAAATACACTAAAGTCACTAAAATCACATAGTAGAACATTACTGTATCAAATCATTTCACATACATTTTTTGTCCCGAGTGCTTTGTCCTGTGCCCTGCCTGCATTTTTACT